GGCTCTGCAGGGTCTCAGGGGGGCTGTGCAGGATCTGTGAGGGGCTCTGCAGGGTCTCAGGGGGGCTGTGCAGGATCTGTGAGGGGCTCTGCAGGGTCTCAGGGAAGCTGTGCAGGATCTGTGAGGGGCTCTGCGGGGTCTATGGCAAAGCCCACCACAGGTTGAGTTTCGTCTTGCCCAGGACAGCCCCAAAGCAGAATACACCACTGGATACAATGTAACAATTGTAGAGAGCACTGGAGGGAATCAGCAGATGAATTTAACTATTGGTGGCTGATTCACGCAGAGTGAATGTACATGAAGTTCCGCTGAACATACACCTATGACATTGTTTTTATCATATAAATAGACCATTTAGATATACTGCACATGCTGCTTACATGGGACCCGTATCCCCTCCACACACACACACGGGGTTCATCATCTAGGGTGGACCTCCGGATCGGTTCTGATCCCCCCCCTCTGTCTTTTCCTCAGCACAAGAAGTTGGTGGAAGGGAATCTGTATGAGGAAGTCTCCACAGCCAGCTACTCCGAGAATGACATCAGTAACTCCATCAAGAATGGAATCCTGTACCTGGAGGACCCCATCGATCATGTATGTGCCTCCCAGCAGATCCATTGTACTGTGCTGGGGTTAGATGTGTGTTCACATGTAGGGGGTCTGTATATATCACATGTAGGGGGTCTGTATACATCACATGTAGGGGGTCTGTATATATCACATGTAGGGGGTCTGTATACATCACATGTAGGGGGTCTGTATACATCACATGTAGGGGCTCTGTATATATGACATGTAGGGGGTCTGTATACATCACATGTAGGGGCTCTGTATACATCACATGTAGGGGGTCTGTATACATCACATGTAGGGGGTCTGTATACATCACATGTAGGGGCTCTGTATACATCACATGTAGGGGGTCTGTATACATCACATGTAGGGGCTCTGTATATATCACATGTAGGGGGTCTGCATACATCACATGTAGGGGCTCTGTATACATCACATGTAGGGGGTCTGTATACATCACATGTAGGGGGTCTATATGCATCACATGTAGGGGGTCTGTATACATCACATGTAGGGGGTCTATATGCATCACATGTAGGGGGTCTGTACACATTAACCTTCTAATAGTTCCTCGCTGTCTCCTTGTTACTGTCTGCAGACTTGGAGTCCGCATTATTTTGTCCTGACCAGCAACAAGATCTATTACTCCGAGGAGACGTCCCGATACCAGTCCAACGAGGATGAAGAAGAGACAGAACCAAAGGAGGTGAGAGTGAGGCTGGATATATTGTATACATTCATTTTTAGGTAAATGGAACCCTGACTTAATGTAGACACCTCTGGGGGAAACATTGACCGGTCAATACAAACTTTTATTTTCTTTATTGGATCAATGTTACATTTGCAAATTACCACATTATGGCCACTAGATGGCGCTGAGGACCATAGGGGGGGGGAAGTATTCATTTTCTATACTCCTCTGCGCCATCTAGTTCTAGTGGCCATAATGTTGTAAGGTAGTATTTTGTGAGGTGGAGAAGGAATCCTTACATTGACAGTCATTGGGAGAAAGACCCCCTTACATTGGTGCTCAGTGGAGAAGGACTCCTTACATTGACAGTCATTGGGAGAAAGACCCCCTTACATTGGTGCTCAGTGGAGAAGGACTCCTTACATTGACAGTCATTGGGAGAAAGACCCCCTTACATTGGTGCTCAGTGGAGAAGGACTCCTTACATTGACAGTCATTGGGAGAAAGACCCCCTTACATTGGTGCTCAGTGGAGAAGGACTCCTTACATTGACAGTCATTGGGAGAAAGACCCCCTTACATTGGTGCTCAGTGGAGAAGGACTCCTTACATTGACAGTCATTGGGAGAAAGACCCCCTTACATTGGTGCTCAGTGGAGAAGGACTCCTTACATTGACAGTCATTGGGAGAAAGACCCCCTTACATTGGTGCTCAGTGGAGAAGGACTCCTTACATTGACAGTCATTGGGAGAAAGACCCCCTTACATTGGTGCTCAGTGGAGAAGGACTCCTTACATTGACAGTCATTGGGAGAAAGACCCCCTTACATTGGTGCTCAGTGGAGAAGGACTCCTTACATTGACAGTCATTGGGAGAAAGACCCCCTTACATTGGTGCTCAGTGGAGAAGGACTCCTTACATTGACAGTCATTGGGAGAAAGACCCCCTTACATTGGTGCTCAGTGGAGAAGGACTCCTTACATTGACAGTCATTGGGAGAAAGACCCCCTTACATTGGTGCTCAGTGGAGAAGGACTCCTTACATTGACAGTCATTGGGAGAAAGACCCCCTTACATTGGTGCTCAGTGGAGAAGGACTCCTTACATTGACAGTCATTGGGAGAAAGACCCCCTTACATTGGTGCTCAGTGGAGAAGGACTCCTTACATTGACAGTCATTGGGAGAAAGACCCCCTTACATTGGTGCTCAGTGGAGAAGGACTCCTTACATTGACAGTCATTGGGAGAAAGACCCCCTTACATTGGTGCTCAGTGGAGAAGGACTCCTTACATTGACAGTCATTGGGAGAAAGACCCCCTTACATTGGTGCTCAGTGGAGAAGGACTCCTTACATTGACAGTCATTGGGAGAAAGACCCCCTTACATTGGTGCTCAGTGGAGAAGGACTCCTTACATTGACAGTCATTGGGAGAAAGACCCCCTTACATTGGTGCTCAGTGGAGAAGGACTCCTTACATTGACAGTCATTGGGAGAAAGACCCCCTTACATTGGTGCTCAGTGGAGAAGGACTCCTTACATTGACAGTCATTGGGAGAAAGACCCCCTTACATTGGTGCTCAGTGGAGAAGGACTCCTTACATTGACAGTCATTGGGAGAAAGACCCCCTTACATTGGTGCTCAGTGGAGAAGGACTCCTTACATTGACAGTCATTGGGAGAAAGACCCCCTTACATTGGTGCTCAGTGGAGAAGGACTCCTTACATTGACAGTCATTGGGAGAAAGACCCCCTTACATTGGTGCTCAGTGGAGAAGGACTCCTTACATTGACAGTCATTGGGAGAAAGACCCCCTTACATTGGTGCTCAGTGGAGAAGGACTCCTTACATTGACAGTCATTGGGAGAAAGACCCCCTTACATTGGTGCTCAGTGGAGAAGGACTCCTTACATTGACAGTCATTGGGAGAAAGACCCCCTTACATTGGTGCTCAGTGGAGAAGGACTCCTTACATTGACAGTCATTGGGAGAAAGACCCCCTTACATTGGTGCTCAGTGGAGAAGGACTCCTTACATTGAAGGCCTTTGGGAGAAAGACCCCCTTAAATTGGTGGTCAGTGGAGGAGGACTCCTTACATTGACGGCCATTGGAAGAAAGACCCCCTTACACTGGTGCTCAGTGGAGATGGACTCCTTACATTGACGGCCATTGGAAGAAAGACCCCCTTACACTGGTGCTCAGTGGAGAAGGACTCCTTACATTGACGGCCATTGGGAGAAAGACCCCCTTACATTGGTGGTCAGTGGAGGAGGACTCCTTACATTGACGGTCTTTGGGACAAAGACCCCCTTACATTGGTGGTCAGTGGAGGAGGACTCCTTACATTGACGGCCATAGGAAGAAAGACCCCCTTACATTGGTGCTCAGTGGAGAAGGACTCCTTACATTGACGGCCATTGGAAGAAAGACCCCCTTACACTGGTGCTCAGTGGAGAAGGACTTCTTACATTGACGGCCATTGGGAGAAAGACCCCCTTACATTGGTGCTCAGTGGAGAAGGACTCCTTACATTGACAGTCATTGGGAGAAAGACCCCCTTACACTGGTGCTCAGTGGAGAAGGACTCCTTACATTGACTGTCTTTGGGAGAAAGACCCCCTTACATTGGTGGTCAGTGGAGGAGGACTCCTTACATTGACGGCCATTGGAAGAAAGACCCCCTTACACTGGTGCTCAGTGGAGAAGGACTCCTTACATTGACGGCCATTGGGAGAAAGACCCCCTTACATTGCTGATCAGTGGTGAAGAACTCCTTGAAATATGTGGTCATTGGGAGAAGGACACACTTTATATTAATTGCCAGTGGAGAAGGCCACCTTACATTTAGAGTCATTGGGAGGAGGACACCGTTTACATTGGTGGTCAGTGGAGAAGGACTCCTAATATTTAGGGTCATTGGGAGAAGGACCTCCTTACATTGATAGTCAATAGGAGAAGAACACCCTTTACACTAGTGATCAGTGGAGAAGGACTCCTTGTATTAAGGGTCATTGGGAGAAGGACACCCTTTAGATTGGTGGTCATTGGAGAAGGCCATCTTTTATTTCTTGTCATTGGGAGAAGGACAAACTTTATAATGGTGGTCAGTGGAGAAGGACTCCTTATATTTAGGGTCATTGAGCGAAGGGCCTCCTTACATTGGTGATCAGTGGAGAAGGCCACCTTTTATTTAGGGTCATTGGGAGAAGTACCTCTTACATTGGGAGTCAGTAGAAAAAAAATGGCCATTTACATTT